CCTGTGTCCTTGATGTAGGGTGTCCTTGATGTAGGGCTCCACAGGGGGTGCCAAGGTGGGGACTGAAATTTTAAACAGGAGGATCAAGGAAACCTCCTCTAATAAATCTCTTGAATACATGTCTATTGCTGCAGACAATCTCCTTCAGAAAATGAGGAACTTCCATTTACCACATGTGCCTTGGCATAGATAAATTCTAGGGGGTAGCATTGTGATCCACACTTCCGATAAGAATAATGAGGGTGAGTGGGGAAGTAATGTTTTCAAATTCACATACTACCTGTACAGGATAACAGTCCCTAGTAATGGAAGTATTATTCCTTCCTTGGTTCCAGATCTGTACAATAGGGTTCCCAAGCAAGAAAGTTCCTATTTTTGAAGGGCTATGAGTAGTATACAGTGAACTAATGCGCATCATGTATGAAGCACTAAGCCTAGCACAAAGTAAGCAATCAGTAAATGTTTCTGAATATTAATAATCATTTTAAGTTTCAACCTCCAAAAGATCCCAGGAAGTCAATATTGAGAATTAGGGTCCTTTATTAGGGGATGTCAGCGGAGAACACAGGAGATAGGAACAAGTCTTAGGGGCTTGAGAGTGGGCTTGGAGAAGAGGAGCCCATCCTGGTCCTCAGGCCTGTGCAGAAGTTGTCAGGGGGTACCCAGGGGTATGGTGAAGGAGAGGTAGTCCCCAAGGGCGCCCCAACGTGGCCGGTAGATCTGGAAGATAGTGATCCAAGTGGTGAGTACAATCACCCAGAAGAGGAAGCCCACAGCTGAGCGCCAGACATCTGTAAGAGGTAACAGGAGGGGACAGGTTGGCCACCACCTGCTCTCTGGTCTCCCCGAGACCGGCCCTCTCTTCTCTTCCACAGAGTCCCAGAATTCTGGAACCTCCATTGTCCCTTCCCACCAAGGCTCCCAGAGTCCCCCTCCCCACACCCGATGGCCTCCCTTCATCTGTGCCCTGGACTCACAGCCTTTGATTTGGCTCTGTTCTGTGTATGCCGGGACAAGGAAGGCCTCTCGGAAGAACCAGAAGATGTTGACCAACCAGAGAAAAGGCAGGAAAGCAAACCCACCTAAAGAGAAGAAAATAAACTGGGACTTAAGGCAATGAGGATCCTCCCAACACCCATGTAGCTGACCAATTTGGAAGGTCCTCTCCCATACCCAAATTCAAATGGAGATCTCTGCTATCAGGGATTCAAGAATCCTGACTCCTCCCCGGGATCCAGGAATCTGAGTCCTCAACATCTTTTCGGCAGGACCAGGAGACCAGGCCCCCAACTCCCCTCCTCTCTTGGGACCCAGAAATTGAGGCCCCAGTCTCCTCCTTCCTCAGGACCCAGGCCCTTCCTCTCTTGGGACCCAGGAGTCAGCGTCCCCAGCCACTTCATCCTCTAGACCCAAGAATCCAGGCCCCCAGACCCTCTTCCCCCAGGCGTTCTAGTCCCGTCCACTCTCTTCTCCGGGGACCCTAAGATATCAGCCCTTACCCAGGTAGTACTTCCGGCACAGGTTCAACTTCTCCTCGTTGGACACCCGCTCCAAGTTCATAGTTGCGCTGGGGCCGGGTCTTCCGAGGGTCTTCAGGGCAAGACCCAAGCCCTGACCCTAAGTGACAGATGCAAGGATCACAAACAACCACGCCCCTATTACGACAAAAGGGAGAGAAACTGAAGGGTGGGTTTTCTGAAAGAAGGGTACCCCCGCCCCCACCAGCAAGCTGACTGGGTTGAGACGCTCTTTATGTTTATTGGGGTACGGAGACGACCCCTAACTCACCAGTGGAGTCTTACTTCCTCCTGTTTGGACCCCTTTGCCACTTTCAACTACGGACTTTTGCGCGAGATGCCGCAAGTGTCTCTGGACCTTGTAGTCTTTTTGGTCAGGCAACGCTGCACGCATGCGCTTTCAGGAAACGCCAGTGGGTGAGTCCGTGGGGAGGGTGAGAGCCTCCATCACGCAAGCGCACTAGGGAGTTTCTGAGTGCCCGGAGGCCGCGAAGAACTACATTTCCCAATGCCCTTAAGCAACGGAAGTGACGTAATAGCAGACGTAGTTGGAGGGTTCGGGTAAAAATGGCTGAATATTTAGCTTCGATATTCGGGACTGAGAAGGACAAGTGAGAACGGGCGCAGGGAGTGGCCCCTCGGGAGCCCAAGGACGAGGCACTTGGTTCCCTGGTGGCTGGGCGGCGTGGGGCGGTGTTTCTGGGGTGTCCGGCTCCCCGGCCCTCGGTTCACCTCTGTCTCTGCACCTCTTCCAGGGTTAACTGCTCTTTTTACTTTAAGATCGGGGCCTGCCGGCACGGGGACCGGTGCTCCCGGCTTCACAACAAACCGACTTTCAGCCAGGTGAGACCCGGCACGGAGCGTGGGGGGTTAACTTCCTGTCCATTCCCTTGCTGTTGTCCACCATCACGAGGTCCCGCCTTTTCCGGATTTCTAGGGCCCACCCTACCGCCCGGCGTTTTTCTTGTCGGAGCTCTGCAGGTTCCTCTCCCAACTTTCAGGCCCTTCTCCCAGGAACTTGGCCACGCCCCCGTACGTAAAGACCACACCCCTGGGCTGTCCCTCACTGCTAGGTATCCCCTCTTCTGGTTTTCCGAGGGACAGGCGTTGCTGTCGCACTCAAGATGCTTATGCTTTTTCTCTGGTGCAAGGTCTCGCCCCCAACCTTCATCCCCAATCCCTCTGCATATAGTCCCGCCTTCTGAGCTCAGGCCCCGCCCTCTTTAAATTCTGTTCAGACCATAGTGCTGCTCAACCTGTACCGGAATCCACAGAACACCGCCCAAACCGCAGACGGATCGCACTGTGAGTGAGGGACCTGTCTTGGGGGCAGGGCGGACAGCTCCCAGCAGGCCACGCCCTGATTCCACCCTGCCCCCCTCCACCAGGTCACGTGAGCGACGTGGAGGTGCAAGAACACTATGATAACTTCTTCGAGGTGAGGGTTGGCAGGGGTGGGTTCAGTTTCCTGTGGGCCAGCAGCTCAGCTGAGTTCCTCGTGGTCTTCCACAGGAAGTGTTCACGGAACTGCAGGAGAAGTACGGGGAGATTGAAGAGATGAATGTGTGCGACAACCTGGGGGATCACCTCGTGGGCAATGTTTATGTCAAGGTGCCTGCTGTCTCCCCATTAGAGCCTAGAGGTGGAGGCATTTCAATGCCTAACGGCCACCGCTGAAGCCTCACAGCTTGAGGTCCATCACTAAATCCACTCCAGACCCTGAGCTGCTAGCTAATCCCCTGATTTCTGAGTTTGATTGCTGACCCTGACCGACTTTCCCTCAGTTTCGGCGCGAGGAGGATGCAGAGCGGGCAGTGGCTGAACTCAATAACCGCTGGTTCAACGGGCAGGCTGTGCATGCCGAGCTGTCTCCCGTCACTGACTTCCGGGAGTCGTGCTGTCGGCAGTATGAGATGGGGTATGGTAGTGCAGGGGTGGGATGGGCACCTGGAGTCCCAGACTTCTGTGTATGAGTTGAGGGGGCTGTCAGTGACAATGGCCTCATCCGTCCATCCATGCTTTACCCAGGGAATGTACCCGGGGTGGTTTCTGCAACTTCATGCACCTGCGACCTATCTCCCGCAACCTCCGGCGGCAGCTCTATGGGCGGGGACCCAGGCGCAGGTACCTCAGGACCAGCCTGCCAAGACTTCTCGTATCCCAAGGCCCCTGTATCCTGAGATGAATCTGATCCTGTGCCCCAATAAGTGTCTCAAGCCTTTTGTGCCCTAAGACTAGCCCTGAGCCCCATCTGAAGACGAGCACCTAAGTCCCAACCCCCAAACCAGCCTGAACCCCAAACCCAAGTCCAACCTGGATCTCCAATCCTGAGGTCAGCTCCTGTGCACCTATCCTGAGGCCACCCCCAGGAACTCTACTTATTTCATCAACTGCCATGCCTTATCCCAGAGCAGAGAGGCAGAACTGGGGGATCTGCACACCATCCCCATGGCTCTGATCCTCCTCTCTCCTGTCCCCAGGTCACCCCCAAGGTCCCATACTGGCCACCGTCCCCGAGAAAGAAATCGACGACGGTCCCCAGACCACCGGCATGGCCGTTTCTGAGATGCTGACCTCCTTGCCCTCCACCCCTGGCAGGCACATATGTTCCTGGCCAGGACCCCTCCTCAAAGCCCCCTTAACTCCCTAGTGACATCTTTTCCATGCTCCGGGTCTCCATGATGTAATACCTTCAACACAGGGACCTTCTATCGCCCCGCCCCTAATAAAGTTCTATATTGAGGGTTTAGAGCTTCGTTGTTAGCTTGAGCCTGGCTGTGGGCTGGTTTCCTTCCACCCCCACAACTGCTGATGAAAAGCGGAAGTAGGGCTGGGCTCTGGCCACAACCTCAGCCAAGAAACTTCCAACAACAGGTGGGAAAGCAGCATGCCCAGGGTCCTAGAAACCCCCAAGTGGGACTGGTTGGGTGGGGCTGCCTTTGTGCTGAAAGTTCAGCACGTCCATCAGAGGATTCTCAAGGGGGAGATGCTTGATTGTGGCAGGTCGGAGGATTCCCAGTCTGGAGGAGATTGGGGTTAGGAGCTAAGGTAAGGTTGCTGGGAGTTGGGTGGGAGTCTCCAGTGGGTGATGGCTGGGTCCTCCATGCCCACTGCCCTGAGATGGGAATAGGTAGTACCTAATACTTAAGCTTACACGATGCCAGGTGCCAGGCGTTCTAAGTGCTTTACTTCCAGTAATGGTTTTACTTCTCCACAATAACCCTCTAAGACAGGTACTATTATACCATTTTACAGATGGGAAAAGAGAGGGCAAGAAGATGGCAGAGATGGGATATAAATCCACGCAGTCCGGCTCCAGAGTCCTCGCTGTAGCCATCTTGAGGCCTTGTGGCCGCTCTGATAACGGGCCAGGAGCTGGTCTGGGGCTGGAGAGTAGATTCCTGGCTTCCAAAGGGGACTGGGGATCCTATGCCCCCACATCCACTGCTTCCTTCTTCTGCCCCGGTTTCCTGGCAAGTGCGGCAGAGGTGCTGTGGCAGGAAGTCCTGTGGTCATGGCCCCCCAGAAGGCAGGCTCCGCCAGGATGGGGCCCCTATGCCTCCTCCTGACTGCCGTGCTGCTCCTGGCCCAGGCAGCGCCGAGGAAGGCCTCTCAGCACTGCAGCCGCCTCGAGTACTGGAACCCTGAGGACCTGTGCTGTGGCAGCTGCTTGCAGCGCTTCGGGCCGCCCCCTGCTCGGGTAAGGAGCCGGGACTGGGCGTTTGCATATGTTCAGGCGGAGTTAAGGGGTGATAGGGAAGGGGGAAGGGGCGAGGTCTGTGGGGTATGCTTCGGGGTGGGGGCGGTGGGCCGTACGTAGACAAAGTGGGGATGGAGAATGAGCCTGCGAAGAAAGGGACAGTGTGAGTTAAGACGGTCATGGTTAAGGGGTGTGGCCGGTTAGACGGGCGGGAACCGAGAGGCGAGGAAGAGGCGGGCGGGGGAATGAAAGGGGCGGGGCCTATGTAGAGAAGGTTGGGAGACTGGCAGGGCTAGTGTGCGGCGGGGTGTGTGTGTGTGGGGGGGGGGGGGATAGAGAGATGGGCACGTCCGCTGATAGGTTGGGTGAGTACAGTGCAAGGGGCGGGGACTGCTGGGATAGGACAAAGGGGAAAGCACGTAGCTAGCGCAGAGGAGGCAGGTTTGGCGGTTGCACGTGAGACGTGTGTCCCACCAGACTGAATTTTCGGAAAACTGCGGGCCCGATGATGCGGGCAATCACGTAACGCACCCCTTCAAAGAGTGTCCTCCTGGGCAGTGCAACCCCAACAGCGAGGAGCTATGTAGTCCTTGTGGCGGCGGAGCAACGGGGGCCCCACTTCCTTGGGGAGCCGCGGCGGGACCCGGAGGCGCGGCAGACAGGTGCTGGTTGGGCTCCGGAGAGCCTGCTGGGCAAGGTGCAGCCCGCCAGAGTGGGGCGGGGGCGGGGAGCGTGGCTTGGGGTCGGATGGGTGGCGTCTGTATCAAGGGAAGGGAGGGTGTAACCTAACTGAAGAGGACAGGGATGGGGGCACAGTATTGATAGTATCAGGGGTTAAAGGAGTCGGGGTGGGGGGGTGGGAGGGCAGGATCAGGCGGAGATGTGGTCCCATTGAGGAATTTAAGGATGGGAAGTTTGTGCTGAGGAGGCAGGAGTAGGGCATGCTTCCCACTTTATTTCCAGAAGCCGGTCCGTAACAAGGAGCCCTGCCCCCTGACACGTGGAAAGCTGAGCGTCCTTAGTTCCCAGGAGCCCAGCTTACCGGCGATTTCCAGTCTCCTGTGGACATCTGAGCACAAAGTCCCTCAGCAGGCCTGGCCGAGTTGGAGTTTTGACCTGTCCCTGGTGCTGGTTCTGCTCATGACCTCAGCAGAAATTCTCCTGCTCGCCCTGCAAAGGCACCGCCGTCGCAACCACCAGGGGAAAGCTGTCCAACACCCCTATCCTGGCTTGGTTTGCAACCACCTCAACACCCACACCCTATTCTCCTTGCACTTGTCCCCTCCAGGCTCCCTGGAGGCTTCAGAGGCAGGGGACTCAGGGAAGGAGGTCCCTCTGCCTCCACTCCTAGGCAGGGGTTAGTTGAGGATACACCAAGGAGGGGGGGAGGTGGGCTGGAAGCTTGCGCTTCCTCCCCTTCACCCCTCCCTTTGTCTCCTAGAGCTGCCAAGTCTGGAATCACAGCCGCTGTCTCGCCTCCTGGATGAGCTGGAAGTGCTGGAGGAGCTGATCGTGCTGCTGGATCCTGAGCCTGGGCCAGGATGGGGGAGAGCCTGTGGCAGCACTCGACACCTGGCTGCAAAATATGGACTGCCTGCTGCCTGGTCCACTTCCGCCTACTCCCTGCAGCCCAGTCGCTGGCCTCGGTGGGCCCTGATGGAGATGGTGGTGGCAAGGGAGCCCTCTGCCTCTCTGGGCCAGATTGGCGCACACCTGCCCAGAGAGGGCGGGCAGATGCACTGCAGGTGCTGTCCAGGCTTGGCTGAGCTGGGGCCTGCCCGGCCTAGTACCCGATAAAAATAAAGTTTCCGTTGAAGTAAGTGCCTGCTGTCTCTGGGCCTCATCACGGGTCCTCTTAAAATAGTCTTAATTGGGCCAAAACCCAGCAGACATCCTCTCACTCCCCTCCCCATTCAGGGAATGGGCCAATCCCACCACACACACAAGACCAGATGTGGGTTACCTCTGGGCAACCAGGGTCCCCTGTGAGAAATGGCCCTGCTACCCTTGAGAGGCTTCATCTATAGGGACCCATCTGAGTTCTAACTTGGAATAGGTGTTACATTTATGCTCTGAGCCTTAACAGACCCCCGCAGTTTACTTCTGATTCTGAACGATGCCCTCTCGCCTCCCCTGGCTCAGGATGAGTGTGGGGCGCAGAGGAACAGAAGCTCCTACCTGCCCCCAGCACCATACAAATGGAAGACCACCTCTCCAAACATTGACAGACTTTATTGTGGGGGGTTCCCACCTGGGATCCCACCCTCTTAAATAAAAAAGTGCATAGAAAAGAAGGGATTTAGAAACTTTTGTACAATATCTACATCCTGGGCCCCCAGGGAAAGAAGGGGGCGATTGCTGGGTGGGCTGGAGGGGTGGAGGCAGGGCCCTTGCCACCTGCATGCCCACATCCACCCTGAACATGAGGGTGGGGTGAGATGCTCTGGGAGGGACGAGGGGCAAGATGGCAGCGGGGGGCGTGGCAGGCAGCCACAGCTTCAGTTAAGGAACCGACGGCAGCGCTTGGCGCCACAGTTGCAGGGCAGCTTGTTGCTGGCATCCTCAATGGGGAACTTGTAGTCATAGGTGAGCTCCTCGCCACGCAGGATGCGGCGCAGGGCGAAGATGACGATGTGCTTCTGGCCCTCCACGTGGATGACTCGAGAGAAGCAATTGGGCTCACACGAGTGGTTGATGAAGCGGGCGGCATTGCCATGCATGGTGGCATCCACCACGTCGAAGTCATCCATGCGGAACATGTAGCACCCAATGCCCTACAGGGATAGGGTGGGGCAGTCAGGGGCTCTGTTCCCGTGGACCACACTGTTTCACCCGTCTCATTCCCATGGCCTGGCAGAGCCTACCTTCCCATCATAGAACTTCTCCCGCTTGTCAGTCAGCACAGAGCGAATGACAATACCAGAGTACTCAATGACCATCTCGCCAGCATCGATGTTGCGTTTACAGAACAGGCCCCGCCCGTGGATGGCAGATCTGCAGGGTTGCATGGGCAAGGGGGAGGTCAGGGGGCAGGGGGACAGAACCAAGGTAGTCCCACACTAGGGCACCTGTCCATCCACCCAAGGGGCATCCTCCCCCCAACCCCACTGACCTGTAGACACCCACAGCCTCTTTGGATGTCTTCTTGAGGTGGCGAAAGCGCATGGCCATGGGCAGCTCCAGACTGGTGGCGCGTCTGGTGGGGGACGGCAGCGTCACACAGGTTGGTACCCAGGAATGACCTCTCTTGCCCCGATCACCCTCTTTTGGACCTTTCCAGACCATCCCCAGTACCCTGGCCTGCCCTCCATACCTGGTTGACCTGAGCTGCACCTCATCCTCTTCCTCGTCACAGGTGGCTCCCTCAGGGAGCACCCGGTGCTGGGAGGCCAGGAAGTTGAACATGTCAAAGGTGCACTTCCTGCAGGTGAGAGGGAGAAAAGGAAGGAGGTTCATAGCCATTCTTTCAAGAAGATGCTACCCATATATTCTTTGGCCTGGGCCTGCTGCTGGTAGGGTAGGAGCAATACTGCTACTACTGAAGACACAGCAAACGGGGAACAGATGAGGTTCATTCTTCTGATGTGAACTCTAGGAATAACTTCTGGAGTGGCCTAGTATCTTCTCCTCAGACCTCAGTTTCTAATCTGTAAGACTTAATTCCCACCCTTGAGAACTCCTACAGGGCTACCCCGACTCAGGCATCACACCCCAGACCTCTCACCGGAGATAGACCTCAGCGCGGGCTGCCCCATGGGGATTCAGGGGTGGCTCCTCCTGGCCCTCTCCCTGCTGGTGGTAGCGGAATTTATAGTGCTGGCAGCGCTGAGCTCCGGGCAGTTGCTCTGCCAGGAAGATGACAGCATCGTGGTGGATGCCCAGGAGCCTTGCCCCACTCATTCCTGGGGAGAGTCAAAAGTGAGGACACATAAGTCATGCTGGAGGCCCATCCTGCCAACAGGGAGTCATCCCGGCCCCCAGCATCCCTGTGAAACCCCTCAGTTACCACTAAAGGAGAGATGTCTGAGCCGGGCATGCCCTCGGGCCTCTTGCACCTTCTCAATCAGAATTCTCCATGCCCCTGGGGAGAGGGCAGGGCCAGAGCTGTCAGAATGGTGTTCTACGGGACACCTTCCGTCCCTGTCAATGCTACTCCCAAACTCACCCTCCAAGCTCTCGGCCTCCACGCTGAACCCATCCTCACTGCTGATCTCGAAACGCAGGTGTGGGCCAGCCCGTTTAGGGGCCTGGTTCTCTTTGTCCTCTGGGGATGGAGGCTCTTCCTCAGAGCTTGAAGCCTCACCTGGTCCCAAGGAGCAGATCAGAGTTGGTGACGATCACCCCTCCTGGACTCAAAAGCCCCTGGTTCCCCTCTGCCCTTCCTTCCTCCCCGTGTATAAGCACAGTTGCTGGGTCTGAGGGTCTTCCTCCTGCAATATTTGCCCAGTGAACCCTATAGAATGGACATTATTTTTTCTAAAGGGCCTACAGTCTCTTTACTGCAGGACATGCTTATGGCTCACTCAAACTCAGTCTACCGTAAATGCCAATCTATTCCTCATTTCTCTGCATCTCACACAAAATTTAAAATACTGGAGAACTACCATATTTTGCACATGTATTTTTCTTATGTGTACCACATTGCTGTAAAGATTACCAATATATTATTATAAAGGCCCATACTCACAGAATCAAGTATATGTACACTATGATGGATTTCTCAGGGGCTAAAAATGTTAAAGCTAGAACAGACAGGACTAGCTGACACAGGTGAGGTGGATGTGAGAGAAAAGGGGAGGGGGGTCAAGGACAATTCTTGAGGTGTGGAGCCTGAACAACTGGAAGGATAAAATGGTCACTGAGTGAGATGGTGAAGGTGAGGGAGAAACGAGTTTGGGGTCAAGGTCAAGAACTCAGTTTGGAACATGTTGAGCCTGAGATTCCTCTTAGAAAACCTCCCCTTTCAACTTGCTTGTGGAGATGGCGAACAGGCAGCAGGATATAAGAGCCTGGCTAGTGATTTGGGGGCTATCAGAATTAGAGACGGGGTTTAGAGTCAGGAAGTTAGACAAGAGCACTCGGGAGTGAGTGGAGATTAGAGAAGTCAAGGCCAGAGCCCTGGGACACACCAAAGCTGACAGGCTGGGGCAGTGAGGAGGCATAGCCAGAGGTGAGGAGAGGGCTGGGGTGCTGGAAGCCAGGAAAGGAAGTGCTTCAAGGAGGGAGGGATCAGCACACCAAATGCTGCTACTGGCTCAAGCAGGATGTGGACTGAGGCCTGACCATTGTACCTGGGTTGAGTGGGGTGGGGGGCATACGTTTGAGTGGAGCATACTTTAGGAGGGGCAGGAGTCACATGGCCACACTTTCTCCCCACAGAACTGCTCTGGGCCAACCTGCCTATATGCCCTTCCAGCCCTAAGCAAGACTCTAAACCTAACTCTCGCTGTGTGTCCCACATCATCCTTGGGCCTCGCAATGCCCTAGGGTCCACCTCTGACTTCTGCCACCTTTCCCCATCCTCACTTCCATTCTGTTCCCTGAGCACAACCACAGAGGCCTCGCCTGGGCACACTCTCACTTTCTTCTTTCTCATGGTGCTCATCCTAAGCTAGAATGCGCTTGTTAATTATGCATCTGTTTCCTCTAGCAAAACGTGGTCTGGTCCCTATGGGCAGGGACCTGTCTGTCATGGTCACTGCCATATCCTCATGCCATCTCCGACCCCTGTAAGTAGCCTTTCAGTAAAACAGTCTCAGTCTACTTCATTCCACTTCCATACTCAGCAGCTTAGCTCTACATAATGAGAAAATCCACACATCAGGACAGGACTTGGGGCCACAAGGAATTCCGAGCCTCAGTCTGCTCAATTATCAGCTTACTTGGCTATAGCCTACTCCCTCTCCCACTGCCCTCCATGACCAACAGAGCACTGCCCTTCCAGCTTCACTGAGTCCATCAGCCAGAACTGCTCCACGTGCCCCCATCCTGCATACTGATGTCTCGTATCTCTGCAAGTACAGGCATAACTCGGAGATACTGCAGGTTCAATTCCAGACCACGGCAACAGAGCGAATATTGCAATAAAGTGAGTCGCACAAATCTTTTAGTTTCCCAGTGCATATACAAGTTACATTTATACTATACTGTAGTCTAGTAAGTGTGCAACAGCATTATGTCTAAAAAAACAATGTACATACCTTAATTAAAAAATACTTTATTGCTAAAAAAATGCTAAACATCGTGAGCCTTCAGGGAGTTGTAATCTTTTTGCGAGAGTAACAGCAAAGATCACTGATCACAGATCACCGTAACAAATAACGAAACAGTTTGAAGTATTAAGAAAATTACCAAAGTGTGACACAGAGACACAAAGTGAGCAAATACTGCTGGAAACATGACGCTGATAGACTTGCTCCATGCAGGGTTTCCAAAAACCTTCAATTTGTAAAAAACGTGACAAAGCAAAGGGCAATAAAACGGGGTATGCCTGTACACCTTCCTCATGTCCTTCCCTCCATCTCAGGGGTCTCTTATGCAAACCTGACCACTATGTCTCTTCCCACCTCCTTTTCCATCCACGAGTCCCCTTCACCCTCATCCTTGCTTTTGCTGTCACAGCCCTCACACCAAACCCCTTTGAGCTGCTCCCCCCAACCCCCAACCCCCACCCCAGACTCTTAACTGAGCTTTTTGGCAAGGTGCCTGGCTGCTGTTCTGGCTTCCTCGGCAAACACTGTCTTCGGTTCTGGACTCTGACACAACATCCTCCCTACCCTGTGCCATC